AGAGAGAGAGAGAGGGAGACAGACTGACTAGACGAGAAAAGAAAAAGAGGAGACTGAAAGAGTTAATTTTTCATATTTGAAACCACTGAAACATCCAAACATAAAGTAATCTGCACATGTTCTAAATATAAAAACATACATACAACATACAACCTGTCCAGGCTTCATGAGTCTAGCGTATGATGACTGAACATGGAGAAACATCACATGAACCTGCAGCAAAGGATTGGTTGAGATTATAAATACTCACATATGTCCGTTAAGGTTAGCAAGTTGGTTGCCACAACAGGACCGGTGCATTAAGCCCTTATTTATTTATTTCTCAAGTACCCACTTCCTCACAGGTGGAGTTTACTGAGTCTCAATCCTCAAAGATGAGTCTGGCAATTTTGTCAAAAAATAGAGCACTCCATTGTTGTCTAACAACTATTAAAAACACATCAGTGAGCTACACTGTTGCACTTGGTGACTGTTCCTTCATTATAATGAACACACACTGCAGTTTATATTGACCCAATCCCACATACACCGCCCTGCTGTCCCAAATACTCACTAAAACAACAAATGTGGATTAATCCGCCACTGAAAATAGTCCCGAATGCAACCTTTGGCTCCAGTTTAAGTGAAATTTGTTAAAAACTACAGTGCCCAGTTGCTCAAAAAATGTTGTGTGCGAATATAGTTTTTCTTTAAATGGAACTATATATTTGTGAAACATTTTTAAAGGTTATGCCTTCAGCAGGGACCAATGGGCTTGGGGCTGAGTGCCATATATGGAAGTCAGAAATCATCTTTAGCAATCCAAGTAAAGGTCCTACATTCTAAATTTGACTTAAGTACAAATTGTTTGTAGTAAAATGTAAATGTACTTAAAGTGCTAGAAGTGAAAGCAAAAGCAGAAAATTGGCTGATACATTACAGTATGTGACATTATTGCTACTGATGCATCAATGTCTACACAGAAATTTGTAGTTGTTACTGCTCAAGGTAGAGCTAGTTTTAACAACTCCAACTACATAATGTTGGGCAGTTTAGTGGTTCCAAACCTGGGGGTCGCATCCCTCCAAGGGTCAGCAGATATGTCTGAGGGGTCATGAGATGATGGATAACTTACAAACTTTTCTGTAGTCTTTGTTTTTTGGTGAAATATTGGATAATTGGACCTCTTTGACCCATGACCCTTTTCTGTGGTAAAACTGCTAACAACTCATAGACATCTGAAACATGAGGCTCCAACTAGATGCTGCTTTTTGCGAGGGAACCAGTGGTTTCATCTTTAATGATGCACTTTATATTATAAACTTATCATACACCTTTTTTAATCAGAAACTTAATAATTGACAGAATAAAAGTAACATAGAATTGAATCTCACAAGTACCTCAAAACTGCCCTTAAATACAACACGAGTGAATATACTAACCCAGTGTTTCTTAAATGGGGGTTCATGTTCCCTGGGAATACTTTGTACTGCAAGGGGGACTTGACCTTTTTGGTTTTTTACTGTAAATGTTTAGTCATGTAAGGAGAAACAAATTCAATATCAGAACAGTTAACAGAAACTTAAATTTCCAATTTGGATTGAAACAAATTTCTAATACTTATAGATGTTTACTTTTTATGTTAGCTGTACATACTTATAAGGATAGTGTGGATTTTAAATATCACTCATGCACAATTCCTAAATTAATAATACTATAAGTTCAATTCAAAACATAAATGGTATGTATACGGTTCGATAAACCACATTGTATAGCCCATTCAGAATTCCTGTTTTCAATGTGTTGTTAACCTCCAGAAAAGAGTTTGAGCACTGCCTCACTGCAATCCATAAGGACAAAGATCCTCAGTGAAGCGCAGGCTCGTGTTCAAACTGTGTAATAAATGCACAAAAGTGCAACTTATCAAAAAGATGCAGTCTAATGCAACTTAAATGACATCTCTGTGTTACTGCATGATGACAAAAAATTGTACCAAAAATGTGTTGCACTAGTCAGGGTTCAGTAGTTGACTGAAAAAATATTTCAAAGGAGGTACATCAATAAAAAAGTTGAGAACCACTGTACTAACCATTACTGTGGTACAGATCAGTCCACATGTAATCCTCTCATCATTAATGTAGTGCTAGCTCCCTCTAGTGCTGACAGAAATCCTTACATATTCTTCATGGTGCTTCTAAAAGATGGTCCTGTGTTCTGTTTCAGTGACAAACAGAAACAAATGTGAATAATGAAGCAGAGAATTTACTGGAGCAAATGAATAATGAATCAATGAAAGCTGCATTAAGCAGGATTGAATTATTGGGAAATAATGGAATATACCAGATTAACAAAGGTATGTCTTATTTGGAAAAAGATAAATGGAGTCAGATGTTCCCACATATCATCCAAAATACTCAAGTATTTCACACATTAAAAGTTTGTGTTTTATTGTTTTACAACACTGAAAAAATACAAAATACAGTCAATATAAGTATTTAATAGAAGTAGTAGTACATATTAGGACACACCTTAATCAGCACTAATGCAGCCAACTGGTTTTAGAAGTCACATTATTATTTAAATAAATAGTAGTATAAATGCCCCTGTATCTGTAGTAAAAAATGCCCCTGTATCGGTAGTATAAATGCCCCTGTATCGGTAGTAAAAAATGCCCCTGTATCGGTAGTATAAATGCCCCTGCTGTTATGGTCTTGGGGTTTTGTTGGTTATTTCCTGTTTTATTTCATAGTTTGCATTAAAGATGTTTTGAGGACAGATGGTAGCACTGAACTTATGTCTAGGAAGGCAGTATCCTCTAAACCTTGACTTTGTAATTCAATACCTGTGTGGGTCACAGACTTCTTCCTCGGACTGTCCTGTGTCTGTGCTGCTTAAATGACAATATATCCAATTTTGTTTTAAACTAGTTTCTATGTTTACTATTATGTATGTAAGATGTACATGGTTATAAGGATATTGTGGATTTGGGTCAGTTCAGTATCTAAGTTTTACTATTAGTTATTCATGTCTGATCTGGCCACTGTGACTCATGCCAGAAAGCATTTCCTGCACATGCAAAACTCCTCACTGGTTTCACAATTATTACTAACCTCAAGCTGGAAATCGATTTCCTAAGTATGCTGTTAGATAGTGGTACTAATTTATGGTTTAGGTTTTGATTCTTACTGTAAGAGAGAGAGAGAGAGAGAATTAAGACAGGAGAGTTTTCACAATTTTATTTTGAGATACAAACAGTAGTTCACATATGAATTGCATTCCTGCAATTTATTTACACACACACACATACATACACTCCAACTGCATTGGTAAAGCTTCAGCAAAGTCATTACAGTCAGTATTTTTAACATAACTTACAGTATAAGTTGCTTTATCAGTTATCATTGTCAGATATTGACAAAAAACCCGATGGTTTGAAAGAGGAGTGAGGGAGGCCATCTATGATATATCAAATTGGAACAACCATCACTCAACAAAGGAGGTGGTCTACGACATCAGCTACTTACAGTGATCATTGGTTTCCTGTTGCAAATGTTTAGGGGGAGTGGCTTTCTGATGCTATTCGAACATCCAACATTCACCTCTGACAGCTGGCCCCTTAAATGACTCTACAGAGGTTAAATGCCAGAGAGAACTGAAGAAGCCTTTTGGGTGAGAGGCTTCAAGAAAAAGTCCAGTTTTTAACTGGGCTGATTCAAACCACATCAGGCACTGCAACCAAAACTCCCATCCTCCCACTCGTGTGGGTAGTGCGTTTAAGCTGCAGTGGTGGCTGGAAAAAACGCAGTGACCTGCGGCAGAGAACTTGAAACAGAATTGTCTTTTGGAGAAACGCAACCCAACGTCACACTTTGCTTATACTAAATGAGCAGTCAGAGGATCACCAAAGTCGTTAGAATGTGTCCACTACTAGGTTGTCTGCTCCAAATTTCAAAGAAAACCTTTCCGTTGAGTGAGAGAAGTTACTTTTGGTCTTCATGACCTTCAGAGGACCCAATGATGCTACTTCTTGTTGAGGTAGCATCATTTGTCACACATGGAAATGGAGTCACACACAAAAAAGTGTAGTGTTAGTGTTAGAGAGTTGGAATGGGCTGAAATCCTTTATTTTCAGTGTTCTAAGTAGTTTCTATTAAGGTTTTACATGATGTCTCTTCAAATTGCAATTAGAACAAAGTGCAGGACACTTTGCTTAATAGTATAAAGTATTGTACAGATAGTTGTCATGCATAGCTATGCATATAATGACCTAGGGACGGAAAAGGCAACTAAATTTAAATTTAAATTTGTTTTCTGGCAGCATTATTGTATTTGTCATCCCGTTTACAACATATTATATAGGCTGTGCATGTAGCTGCTATTTGGAAGGTGACTGTGGGAGCAAAATGTAAGTGGGGTCACAGGACATATAACTCTGTGGATACACTTCTGTCTGGTTTACAGTGACTTCTTCAGTCTGAGGCATGTATCCACTGGAGCTTTTTACTAAATCTTCCCGAAGCTCAGGTTTTGGGTTTGACTGATGATCCTCATTCTGCATTATCAGGTTGTATGACGGGTTAGGAAATGTACTTCTGAATGGAGAAGATGGTAACCCTGGCTGAGATGGGAAGGTTGTAGTGGGTAAAGTGAGAGGTGGTGGGGTGCCGTTTTTCAGAGGTTGGTTGTAGTAACCAGTAGGAGTTTGTAAAAAAACAAAAGGCATTTTCTGTGTTGAGTGTGTGTATGAGTTAGAATGCACCTCTGCAACATCTGTGTTATTTTCTTCCCTATGGTGGTCATTCACGAGAGGACGACAACTATTTTCACCCTGAAACACAGACAAAATCACATCACATTCTTAGAATAGATTGGTGGTAGCTCAGTGTGCAATGAGGCTCGATAGTAGACAAACTAAACCTTATTTCACCAAATCTTAAAGGTATTTCGCCAATTAATGTTGCACTTTCATAAAGTTGGGGGATTTACAAGAAACATAGTAAGATAATAGCATGGGTCTATAGCCATGCTAGCAGCTCTGTGAAGCCGTACTGCAGAGGCACAGCTGTGCTTTGAGCCAAATGCTAATGTCAGCATGCTAACATGCTCACAATGGCAATGCTGATGTTTAACAGGTAATGTTTACCATGTTCACTGTCTTGATAGGCATAAGCCCAACTGGGGTTGATGGGAATATAATTGGAGGAAGGTAATCAGGAAGTATTTGGTTAGTATTAGACAAATTAAAATTATGGCCTCATGATGTTGCTAACAGAAGCTTTCAAAGTCGAAGGTGGGCCTCCCCAAGGGGGGAGACTCAGTGAATGGAAGTGAAAAAATATTACTTCAGTTATCAAAAGGATATCACATAAAATAGCTTACGTGTGTAATTTGGTTAAAGAGGTAGTTCAGAAGGAGAAATGTAATGGTTTCCAACGTTCCCAGTCAGAAACTAATGCATTAGTAGACAGACTTTTTTATGTGGTTTAATCTGGAGTTATGTAAAATAGCAATATTAGGCTATCTTGGCCCAATTGTTGAGTGTAGATGGGATCAAATAACATAATCATGATCCAATAGGCATCGAGGAATTGAGGGAAACTAGGGGGTGAGGGGGCCCACAGTCTCTGACTTTGAAAACCCTGGGTTAAAGGAATCCCCAGAGTTATTACAATTCACCCTGAGAGGGACATGAATGTGTGTAGATTATTTCATGGCAATCCAATTAGTTGTTGTTCACTAATAACTGTCAACCTCATGGTGGCAGAGGAGAAAAAGACAGGGAGTCATCAAAGTCATAAAGGTTCAGCAACAGCAGTTTAGTTATTTCAGTCTGGGCCAAAGTGGTCAACCAACAGATTAGCATTGCCATCCATAAAGCCGCATAACTAGCATGGTTAAAAAGAATGTTTAAAATCAAAGCATCAGAAGCAGAAATACTCTTTCTTTTACTTTCTAGTCTGTATACAACTGACAAGTAAACAGATCATAAGACATGGTCGTGAGAACCTACCGGTGACGTAAACCACTTGTCTGTCAACAACACTGGCTTTGGGATTGGAGGATAGACTTTGTGTTTAATACTGTTGGATGAAGAAAAGAATGCATAAAAATACATCTCAAACAAACGTTTGGCACCAATGTGCACTCACAAATAGCACCATCAGACGCAACAATTGAGCAAATTGTATAGAAAATTGTGTTGACTTGCTTACCATGCCCAGTGTCTGTAGCAAATGATAGTGATGAGGGAAAGGAGACCAAAAACAGTGACCAGGCAAATGATGACAAGCGGGATCAATTTATCAGCTGGTGAGTTAAGACAAAGATAAGAAGCCCAGATGAGAAACAAGAGTAAATCAAATAAAACCAGAATATTTGCATTTCTTGAAGAAAATGTGTGTGATTGCTGCATCTGCTCCTGCCATCACTACTGCTGCTCACACTCACAGCGTCTGTAAGACTCCCAGCAAGAAGTATTTGTGATTGAAATCTGACAATAATTGTCATAATAGAAGGCTGTATTAAAGAGATATTGCATATAGCAATCACACAATTAGTGTCACATTATTGGACTTGGAATTGGAGTTGTAGCAGCAGTAGTAGTAAAGGCTGCAATAGTATTAGTAGTAGTCAGGATTTTAACCATGCAGCTATGTATAGCCCCATTTCCTTTCATTGTAAACATTATGTTAAAAAAGCTTAACATTGTAAAAAAGAAAATATAAGAAGTATGCATGTCCTTAAAGTGCTGAACATTTTGGCATTTGAACGGTTTCTATGGCTGAAAGCTGGTAGCAATCACACACTAACAAATGCATTACTTGATTTTGTTTCCATTATTTCGCTAAAGAAACACAAAAATAAATGGTGGTCTGAAAGGGAAAAGAAGCAACATACTTGGTGTATTTAAGGTGACCATAATAGTTCCAGTACCACATTCTCCGACTGCTGTCTTTGCCTTCACTGTGAACTTGTAGGAAGTAATATTGAGGTTTCTTGCTCTCAGGCTGGTGGCTTTAATATAATCTAAAACAAGAGCAAGAGATTGTGTTACTAACAAACATCCTAAGGAACCCTCAGGATCACAGCTCTGCATGTCATGAATGACATCATGTGGAAACACACACAGACCTCAGTTCACATTTGTCTATGTGGTTGAAAATGTCCCGTCAGAGTGTAGTAATACAGGGTGTATTACTAGTAATACAGGGTGTATTACTACACTGTGACGTTACTGTAGGGTACCCTAGGTGCCACCAGATGTCAGTGAAAACAACATTCAACATTCTTGCTTTTTAAAGTCCTGATTTTGTGTGTTGGCAGATTCAGAAGGTGAGAGAGAGCATGTATCCTTCATAGCAACATCAGAAAAATAAGGTGTGTGACAATACCTGTGCTGACAGTGAAGCCTGTATTGTTGTCATCATAATACAGAACATAGCCTTGGATAAAGGCAGACTGTGCTCTTAGATCTATAGGTTCCCAGAATACCTCGACATCTGAATCCCATTGTTTGGTTTTCAGTGTTTTAAACAGGCCGTCTGGTATTCCTGGCAAAGCATAACATGGGTGAAACAATGTTGAACAAATTTATTAAGCAAACAGTGCACCACAGGAAAGTCAAACAATTCAATCTTACCTTTCTCCCTGACATAGCCCTCTCTTCTTTCAAGAAGCACTGGAGCTCCCTGGGTGCAGGCATATACAGACAATGAGTATCTCACTCCGTCTTTGAACATTTCTGGGAAGGAGAAATAACAAAAGAGATGTACTGTAACAAAAGGAAATGTAAAATTGTATATGTAACAGTTTTGTGGGCAAAGAAAAACACTTACTTGAAAATATACTGGCACTGGTTTCAGTAGGAGGCACTTTCAGCCATTCCACACTGCAATCCCCTATGGTAGGACACCAGTCCACTATATAGCCACAGGTGGCTGTAGGACTAGCAGACCAGGATAGGCTGAAGCCACCATTGCTGCCATTTATCATCTTCACTTCTGTTTTGTCTTCTTCCACTAGATAATGAATGAATAATGAATAATGTAAAAATACTAAAAAACACACTAGTCACACACCGTTACTTAAGTATGTTGAACATTTTATTTATATTGAACTGTGTTTTGTATGTTGGTGTGATAGGATTAACCTATTATTGTGTTGTGTTGTGAGTTAGTTAGCTGGCCTTTTGTTAACATTGTTATTAATGCAGGCATTCTTCTCACTGTCATATGCGTAGTTTCATACCTAGATTTAGGCTGGGGATGGTGATGGTTGACGGGGATGAGCTGCCATTTATATTCCTAGCTGTAACCGTGACGATGTACTCTTCAGTGGTGTCCAGATTTAGTTCATGTCTGTGCTCGCAGTAAGGCACAGTTCTATTTTGTGGTAACTCTGTGTTCCTTGCCCAGGTCACTACATAGTCTCTGATGTGTCCATGACTCTGGTTGGCCAGTGGTATCTGCACGGAGGTAACATCAGGACTTTAGCTGGAGATCATGCCCTCATCAACACCACTTCCTGAAGAGTTTATAAATCATAACCAATAGCTCTTATGGTTAATAAATCATGTTCTAATTATTTAAAGTTTGTATTTGAGAAATTAATTAGAACAACTTTTGGGTTGCCACAATGTGAAAAATTCCTCGGGCTAGTGAGTCATTAATTAAGAGTAACGTGTCATCCTTCCTAACAAGCCATCAAGCCTGCAGTTATCAATGACTTTAGACTCAACTTGACAAAATCAGTTAAGACTGTTTAAACAGACGAGAGTGTTGCGACTCGTACTTTGATGTTCACCCAAAACAATATGACAAATCAGCTTCTAAATTAGATGCAGCAATGTACAATATGAGAAAATCCCCACCCCCTATGTTTGTTGTTTTTTGTACAGACCGGTTTATTCTTGCCAGTGGTCGAGTGGTCGACTTGATGAACTAAGAGAGTCAGAGCCATTTTTCACAACTTGGCAACCCAATTTGTGTTCTTATTAATGGGTCATAACTGATGTACCTTCCCTAATAACTGAAGTATTAGGGAATGATGTATTCACCATTAATTACAATTTAAAAAGGCTTTATGAAAAGCAACATATAAGAAAGTAGTTCCCACTCATCTGACTTACTTTCCAAGTGATTATAGTTTGGCTATCCTTTACCTGCATCCACACATCAAGAGCATCTGGAACTGTGGGACAAATAAGTGACCAGAAAATGTGAAGGCTATCTATTGCCTTTGCAATATCAGTTAAATATTGTTTTCTATTGTTTAAAATTGTTTGTATTTTGCAATACTTACCATCACCCTTTGTGTGGAAGCTGACACTGGTCCATTCACTCCATTTCCAGAAATGTTGTGTTGTACCACATCGTACCCTCACAGTATAATTCCAATCTGGTATCAAGTCATTTAAAACTGCAAAATCAAGGCCAACTCCAAAGTTCTCCATGTGGGAACACTATATGGACAAAAACAATGATCAGAGAAAGATCTTACTTTAAAATCCTTGCTAGTGTCTCACCCTCCTCCTGTTGTCAACTCACTGGGGTATTTGTGCCACTATGGCTAACGTTAACTTGGCATGTTATACTGAGATTATTGTACTGGTGCACCGTCCACTCCCATTCCAGGGTGACATTTCTGGTGTTCACAGTTGAAGCCTTCATTCTCACTGGAGCATGCATGTGCACTGGAACAAAAGACAAACAAAATCAGATAATAAGTATCAATAGCAAATTTTGACACAAGAAAATGTTAATTTCTATATAATAATTAAAATGTAATATATACCTCTTTTGGTCAGGTCTGCGCTGTCTGAGAGCTCAACCCTTCCAAGCTTATTTTGTGCTGTCAGCGTCCAGTTTCTCTCACCAACATCCACTTGTACTTTTTGAGAGCATGTCGCCTTAGACCCGTCTTGACATTGGCTGAAATACAAGAGAGTGTAACTTTAACTTCAATACAGAGCTATATACTTAATTCTTTACCTCAAATAACAACTAAAGAAATGCCATGAGTTTAAAATTACAAATTAAAAAAATGCTTAGTTATTTAACTGAATACTAAATGTATACTATATTATATACTATATTTTACTTGACTAGAAAACATCTGTCTGATTTTAATTCCTCTCTTTCTTTAACATTTCCAGAAGGTAGATCCAAGCTGTTATTGTTGTCACTCCTCACAGCTTATCTGTCTTGTATCATGTGTCTGATCAATTCGGCAAGCTTAATTTTTTATCCTGATTTTTGCTCCAAAATTTACTGATCCAAGTTCAGAAACCTGATTTTTACTTAAAAGAATAGTGCGTAGGATTCAGTGCCATCTAGTGCTGCAGTTTCATATTGCAACACCTTTGCCTCACCCTTCCCTTCCAAGGAGAAACTATGGTGGCCCAGAAATGCACAAAAAATGAACTAGGCCCTGGTTAGAGCTAGTGTTTGGTTTGTCTGTTCTGGGTTACTGTAGAAACATGGCGGTTCAACATGGTGGACTCCACCAGAAGAAGACACGTTCCCTCTGTTGATAAAAACGGCCCATTCTAAGATAAAGATGGTTAAGAGGATAAATATCCAGAGTCAGGACTAATAGCTAGCTGCCAATAGGTAGCAAGAGCTGACCACACTGAGCTTCACAACGGCTCTTCAGAAATCTGTGGAGGACGTCACACAGACTACGTCCATTTCTAATTATACAGTCGGTGAGCAGGTATAGTTTTTTTTACCTTCCAAGTAGATGATAAACTGTTGCACTCCTGACCGATAACTGTGTTTTTCTTCCTACATTCCAGTGACATTCGACTGATTCCAGGTCTCGGGTTTCACACTGAAGATCCTTGTCACCAGGTGGGTCTTAGTCATGGCAAATATATAGATACAAAAAAACAGGCAGTATTTAAGACATATTTAGGACTCCAAATTAAAAAAAAAAAAAAAAAANNAAAAAAAAAAAAAAAATGTGTACAATACTGAGTCATACTCACAGCCAGTATAAACAGAAGCCCCATTTGTACTTCGCACTTTGTCTGTTTCACATATTATATTATCGCCACCGTCACCTGATGCTTGGTTCAGGTGGAAAGTCAAGGCATATATCTGATTTGTGATGTTGTAGGGAGGGTCCATATTATAACCATTCCGTTGAAGATACATTTTTTTGAATTTGTGCCCCGCTGGCAGAATGCAGCAGAAGGTGACATTTCTGCCAACCTCAATCAGTCTGTCCCGTGGAAAAACCGCTGTCCTATTTTTATTTATGTCTGCAAAAGCATAATAATAACACATATAAGCATCTGGACGAGCATCATGGATGTCAAATGTATGGAGTCCCTGAAAGGAAAGTGAAAAAAGAATTTTTGAAAACTTTGAGAAACGTTAATAAGAAAAAAAATCACTTGCCTATCAGGGCGTCCTCCAGACTAGTCTGTACTTCTATCCATGGGCTTTTGTGGTTTTTGTATCGGGACCTGAGCCTGACAGAAGCACAATCCAATTCCAGATCAGACGTCCCGTTCCAGGAATGAGTAGATCCTATCTGGTCACGCGTCACCTCAACTGTCGCCTGAAACATTTTCATAATCAAATTAGAGGTTGGCCTATGTTTGCTTGGCTGAAGCGGAGGTTACTGTTCTGGAAGTCAGCAACTTTGGTGTAATACTTGTGAACTCTTACATTTAATACTTGCTCGCCCATGATCAGAACCACCAGCTCATAGATTAGATCTACTTTAGGGCACGCACTGTCGTCCTCCCATGTTAACCAGATGATATGGTCAGTGCAGTCTGCTGTAAGAAACTGAGGTCCACAGTGCGAAACACCTGATGAAAATGATCACAGTACATTTTAAAGGACATCCTGAGCACAACATTATCCTGAGGAGCAAACCCACCTACAAAGTTATTTTCTTTTCTTTTAATTGTTTAAAATGAAATTAATTTGTTTAATCTGCCTCAGAGCAGTTAGGTTTCCAGTATGTTTTATCTGCTTTACTGTTTTTAATTAATTATAAATGGCTTTGTTGTGATTTGATGCCTTATTGCCTCCTGAAATGTTTTATGTATAAATTTAAATATTAAGTATTAGTATTGGCAAGAATCTGGCAATAAGATACAGGGGATACCATTCAATATATGGCAAAACTGTGGGAAAGTTGCTACAGTATGCTTGTATTTATCACAGTCCCTGTATCATCCAACATCATGGCCCTCAGTTTATGTTTACAACACTGCTATCTAGTGATTGGGGGTTTAAACACAAAAATCAACCAGAATCCGTAATACTTTAATAATCCCAGGTGGCAAATTATTTATTACAATACAGTGTTTTTGAGAATCGATATACAATATCACAAAACAAAATATCATGAGGGTATCAATATTTTCTTACACCCATATTAAATATACTGTATCTACTCATATTGCCAATAGCATGTTAGGAGAAGTTATGAGACAAAATTCAAAAAGCAGTTTGTTATAAAAGAAAACATTTGTTATAAAAGTCTAATTATTATTACAGTAAATGAATCTACAGTGAATGTAAAGTATGGCAATGTCTTCAATTATAAATTCACTTGGAAATTCTATAACATTCTTTTACAGTATCAGATATACTGATATTAAGTTAAAGGATGACATACTCACCATTGTTTTGTCCATTTCCATATTGAGTGCTCTTGCAGAACAGTGCAAACAGTAATAACAATGTGATCATTATATTCCTCCTTACAATGGCTGTTTGTGGTCAACTGTTGTTATTCCTTTAAGGTCAACCTGCCCTCAAGTCTTGGACTTTTATCATGGAAAAGGCATCCAAAGCATCCACTAATCACACTTGATACCTGTGGAAATAAATACCCTCAGTTTGTTAGCTGTCAAAATAATAAACACCTCACTGAAGAGCAGCATATTCTTTTTTATGTGGATGAATAATACTTACACGAGGAGGTCGACTGGTTGTTACGGATCTTAAACAGGGAATTTGTTTAATTTGAAGGCTATGAGGACGTATAATGAAACAGAAAAGACCAGCATCAAGTTACTCCCCGAAGAAACTCCCCCTTCAAAAGAAGCCTATGCCTAGAAAACCCATTTGAGGTTGGAGTACATAACGATTATGAAATCCATTTGGAATTTAAAGCAGGAAATGGAGCAGCTGCTGCTGGTAATTGTGAGTCACAGAGGCCAGATCGGACAGGCCTTAGTTGCACTCTGTTTTGATTCCTTGGAAATGACGACTCATACACGTGTTTTAGTATCTCAGTGTGGTGAGCCTTCATGAAGGCAGTAAGAAAATGGTTTATTCTGAGTATTTCTCATGTGTCACAGTGCTAATAATAGGGACAAAGAGGTTCTGTTATCAGTCTTTCCTCAAATCCTTTCTGTCCACACTTTGAGTTCCTCGAAACAACCCCTTTAGGGGGAGGTTTACCGGAAGAAAGTAAAAATAGAAGGGGAAGCTAAAGCCACTGAGTTACAGAGAGTTTGCATCTCAAAGGTCTCAAGTTATTAGAACGATATCAAGCATATAGCATATGCAACTCACTCATCACTTCATCCTCCCCTTCCAAGTGTGTAGGAGAAACTATAGTGGCTGTGAAATGCACAAAAAACATTCAAAGGCCCTATCTAGAGCTACGGTAGAAACATATGTGAATAATATGTTGGGTACTGGATGAACTGTCTTCAGATAATTAATACAAATAATCAGTTAGTTAAATTAAAAGCACAATCAAGAACTCGTTTGAAGTTATTGTTTTTTGTTTTTAATACATTGCAAAGCCAATATCTTTTGGAAAGAATAATTGCTACAAACTATTACAGCACAACACAAGTGAAAAAATGCTCAAGTGAATAGTGGGACTATATACAGCTCTAAATAAATCATATTTCAGTTCACTAAATGTACTGATATTTAAGTATTGAAATCTTTTTGTTTTGTCTTTTTTTTATTGTATTTACTCTACTCCTTTTTTTGCAGTTGTTTGTTTAATAAACATCGTAAATAAGACATTTTGAAATACATGATTATGTGAATAAATACAAAATATGTGATAAAACTTTAAATTGTGAAACAATCCAACAGTTTTACACCGGCTCTAGATAGTGACTTTCACATTTTTCGTGCGTTTTGCTGCAACCTCAGTTTCTCCCTTGCAGTTGGAAAGGGAGGGTCAAGCGAGTGAGCTGCAATCTGCCTCTACACCATTATATGCCACTAAATCCTACACACTGGGCCTTTAAGAAGTGTCTTCTTGCTGATGTCTTGTTTGTTTACCACATGCAGGTCATCATGTAATAGTTCAGTAATAGTTTCATAACCAGTTAAAAGTATGTTCAAACAAGAACATAACTGACCTCAATATACAGTATATATAGAATACAAACTCTGGTAGTCTCTTAGTTAAAGTGAAAGCTATGTGATCACACCAATGACATATGGTTCACACAGTATAACCACAAGGTGGTAATAGTTTAATCTCACTTGCAATTCAGGGTTAAATACCATACATTATATTTCATCTGGAATTACTTAATCTGATACAAAGTGGACTCACTGTTTTAGTCCTAAAAAGAAGTCTCTCCACTACGCCAAGACCCTTTTGTTGTCCATACCTTGGTAAGGTCCAGCGTATCACGTGTTAATCATCACAGTCCATGTGAAGTACCTGGGAAGGGATCTAAGAGTGCCATTATTTGTCCCTAGCTGTCGGTGAGTAGAGGAGACGCTGGAGAGTATGTGGATGTGAGGGAGTGTGTGTTAAGAGGTCAGTGACTGTTCACGGGTGGGCCGGGAATTCACACACAGAGTTGAGTTCAGGGTGAGTCAGGCTGGCAGCTGGCAGACAGAGAAGTGAAAGGGTAAATTAAGTGTCAGAGCGTGGCGATGAGTCCTTCTGTGGCGACAGGGCTCTCTGCCTCTTCAAACATCTGAGAAACACACAGGCAGCCGATCACCACATGTACAGCATTTACTGTATGTAGGGCCTTTCTAGTCTTCCAACCAGTCAAAGCACTTTACACATGTTCATACTGATGGCAGAGGCTGCTCACCAGAAACAGAAACTATTGCTCACACATTTACAGACCAATGACACAGCCTTCAGAGCAATTCTTAGCATTATAGAATGAGACAGTCGCTTGGGAAATGGCATTGTGAAATAAAAACAGACTAAACTTCCACATTTCCAAAATGATGAAAAATGTTGGATTGTTTTATAATTTCAAGTTTTACCACGTTTTGTGTTTATTCATATAATAATGTACAGTCTTATTTATCTATTTATTTAAAGAAGGCCGGCCAGTGGGTTAAACTTTTTATTAAAAAAAATAAACTTTTGTCATATTTGCTTGAAAAATTTCACTACATTTCCTGGAAGTAGTACATGCAAAAAGGAACAAGATAAATGTGAAAAAAAAATGTTTCGTTGAAGATATGGATTACTGAGTCTCATTTCCAGGGTTGGAACCTGTTTTTTTTTTGTTTTTTTTACAGATTATCTGTCTCATGTACTATTGTCAGGATATAGTGAAAGGTTCAGACAACGTGACAAAAGGTTATTTCTATAAAGGTTACCTGCTGCAGCTTTAAAGGTCTAGTGTTTAACATTGAGGAGGATTAATTGGCAGAAATGGAATGTAATATTTATAGGTATGTAAATCTTGCCCAAGGACACTTCAACATTAGTGGACGGCTCAAGTATTTGTATTTAAACATGTACAATTAGCACTGATTCCACTCAAAGCACTGATGTGATGTTTGAGGTACAGTAAAAAAAAATGTGCAGGAATGTGTAGGAGCTCTGTGCCTTGCTCAAGGACACAATGGTATGCCCAGGAAGTGAATGTCACCTCTCCAGCTACCAGTCCACACTCCGTACAGTGGTCCATGTTTGACTTGAACCGCTGACCTTCCAGTTCTTAAGCCAAGTCTCTACGGACTGAGCTAGCAATGCTAAAATGTCCAATTATGTAAAACAAACCTGAATGCTGAACACCAGATGATAACCTTGTCCACTGTCCTCCAATCCCTGAATACCTCAAAAACTACCAGTTGCTGCCTCTCTCTGATTTGCCGATAGTCACATAGTATCCTTCTTCATATGGATGGTCAGTGACCGCACTGAGGCAAGAGGTCAGATGTAGTGCACTTACTTTAGAGTTGGGTGGATACTGTTTCGGTGCCCATAAAAGCCACAGTGACTAAAATTTTTAATTACACGTGTCACGTCTTCATGTTTGTACAAGTTGCTGAAATGTTTTTTCAGCTGTTGTCGTTTTAGCATTGTTCACCTCCTGACCAGTGACCACTGAGAAATCACTGAAAATCATAGTGAACAAACTGTTTGTCTTGGTTATACTCTGGATTTGGACTCCTTTTAAGGTTTCTGGTGGAAGGGTTTGGAGGATATGCTGACTCTGAACAGTTTGAGATTAAAGCTGCAGTGGGTCATTTTTATATAAATTCCTTTGTCATATTTGCTGAACCTTTCGCTATATCCTGACAGCAGTACATGAGGCAGATAATCTGTGAAACAATCAGGTTCCTCTGGCTCCTCCTAGTGCTAACTGCAACTGTGTACTTGCACAATCTCCACCAAACCTTCCCGCACTGAACATGTCTACATTCCAATATTCAGTTACAGCTCGCAGCTTTAATTTTTTAGTAATTTTTCATTTTTATTTAGTTTTTTTTAGTTTAGGCCAAGCTGATCTGCACTGTAAATTTTAATGCTGCACTAATCCACTGCTGTACAAAAAAGCAAAAATAAAGAACTTGGACAGTTTAACTTTAACACTAAACCAGCTTTACAGCAGGGTACTGAGACTATGCTGAAAAGGAGATGGTGTTACAGTAACACTTAAGAAAGGACATAAACAGGAAGTGCTTTTAGAAAATAAGCATTTCATTTGGGAAGAAGTGTTGAACAATTTGAGCAACCATCAATAACCTCCTCCCCTCTCCCTCCCCCATCACACACTCCCCATTATTATGCAATGTTCCTGCTCGATTGTTCTCCCTGTGTCATCAGCTTCATTTCTACATTCAGATTAATTAGATCTCCTTGCACAACAAACATGGCTGAAATGCTAACTGGCCAACAAAAGTCTCATCTGACATTTCTATCTGATGAAGATCCAGTGATTTTGCAGTTTACAAATGATCTGAAAACATGATTCGAAATTAAAATATGTGGCTTGGCACTTTTCACAACACAGGCAATGTTACATATTTTCAAACATGGCAACATAAAACTGATAAAGTCAAGAAAAGATCCTATTTACAGGATTTTGAGCCTGACTTTTCTCACCAAGTGGCTAAAAAAAAAAAAAAACACACAGAGCCTGCTGGGAGTCATATGGTAGAAATGACCATGGATCAATATACTGCACGCTCTGTCTAACAATCTGTGTACAGGAAACAGTGCAGTGGGAGGCATAAAAACAAAACCAAAAAAAATCTACAGTTCAAAGGAAGTGATAAGACTTCCGAAACGGACCTTCAGAATAAAAGAGGAGGGGGAATTAGATGGATACAAGATAGGGTCTGTTATGTAGTCTTTGTACCCTCTAAATGAAAGTTAAAGCAGGATGCTGTAATATCCGCTTATTATGCTGCATACAATAGTTTCACCATCAGCCACTCTATTTGATTACATTTCAGCACCTGTACTTACTTACTTTTACTTGAGTAAAGAAGTTGATTCAGTACTTCTAATTTTACCTGAGTTTATACCTCAGATATGTATCTCTACTTCTACTAGAGTAAACAATGTGCGTACTACTGCCACCTATGAATGAAACAACATGTCACCTAATGCAGCAGTGCAGCCCGGTGACTTTAATAGGTTTAAAGCAACAATGGAGGTCGAAGGCACAGAGGCATAAACCAGACAAAACAGGGTTGACTCGTGGGTGATAAAATCAGAAAATATCCATCAAAAAGATCATTTCTGTTGATATTTCAGTTACTTTTTGAAGCAGAAAAGTGTGCATCATTATTAATTTAAAGTGTGTGTGGATGTGTGTGTGGATTGTACCACATTACACAAGCATGATTTAAAGTGCACAATGCTGATCAATAACATGCTGAGAAAACAGAATACTGGTTCAGAATACCAGCTGCAGCGGTAGGGTCAAGTGTCACTCAATCACACAAAGAATGGTCTTCCTATCGAGTGTGACTCATTAGGAGGCAGCACCGTATCGTCCACTTCATCTACGAAGACGTTCAGTAAACTCTGGAGGAGCTTCACAGTTTGGCTCTCGGGGTTTGTTCCAGCAGTGTCCTCATGTCCAGCAGCGCCCCCTCCACGGCCCGGGCCAGACGCGCTGCGCTGGTTTCTTCGCAGGTGTTAAAAGACGACACCGCGAAGTTGATGTGATTGTTCATGGGATTGTAGCACACGCCGTATCCATTGGACACGACGGGGCCGAAGCACATGACGCAGTCAGTCTTGGACGGTACCTTTGGGAAGGAGTGAGAATGTGGGGTTTAGTTTTGGGTTATAGGGTCAAACAAATCCATCTACTAGCATATTCTACTACTTTAGCCTGTTCAGATCCCCCGTCCATTCCAATGGACATGACTTTCTAGGATGTCTACATCTATGACTGACAAATGCGCAAACTTATCTGACTGCATGTCTATCACAGTGTCCCATATCATCTAACAGTAGAGCCACACCCCCTTTTTCAACAAGCCCGGGTGACAATGAGGCAAGCAGGAAGTGTAAGGCACATTTTATTCATCATTATCCAGTGGAATGGACAGACAAAATAACCCATACTAAAAAGGGGTATAAAAAA